CACTGAGGCGGAGCCCGAAAGGGTTTTTGAGATAAGAATATGCTTTAATGTTAATCGGGAATGTGAGCTATCATCATGCCAAATTTCAGCCCAATCCGTCCAGTAGTTTATGCGTGATTGAGCAACAAACATACACACAAACTTTCAGATTTATAATATTAGTAAGATATATATATATATATATACAAACTTCCTCTTTTATCAATATAGATGTGAGTGAAAATTTTGAAACGTACGTTTTCAGGAAAAGCACTTTAAAAATTTCTTGATCCATTTTTTGAAACTTTTATTATTTTACCGAATTTCCTTATAGGGAAGTAACTATTATTACCGTAGGTCTCATGGTAAGACCTAGGCCCGGGACCGATTTGCTTATTAATTTTGATGTCCCCAGAGGCCAAAAACACCATTTGTTCAATTTTTTATATATGTATATCTAGGTATATATATATATATATATATATATATATATGTGCGTCCGTCCGTAAACTAACTTGAGTAATTTTTGTCCGATTTTGATACAATTCGGTTTTAAGGTGTAAGGATAAACTTGAATGAGTTCGCGTACCAGCATGATCGGACCATGGGAACGGGGTTTTATGGGGTAAAAATAAGTTACTCTTAAAACACAAAATTTATCAATTTGTCTCCAGACCTTTATAAAGAGCTTAAAAAAACAAATAATTTAGTATACCAAAGTGTTTTTTGTACAGTGATTGGTTAGGGAGAAAATTCAAAAAATTTTTAATTTAAAATTCCCATGTTATTTTTATGGAGAATATTGTAAAATGTTGTAGTTGGCTTTGTTTATGGATATATTTTGATCAAACTTGGTGAATTTATTTATTTCAAACTAAGCTATTGATATAAAAAACATACTTTATTAGTTTCCCTGTAGCAGCTAACCATAGGTACTCGTTAAACATGATTGTTAATTTAATAGATTAATTGAAAATCAATCCAGGCAAATGGAAATTTGATTAGTCGGCAGGTTTGCTGCAGCGGGGGTATTTTTTATTTCATTAACATTTGAAGTTTCCTCAAATGGCCATGGTAGCGCAATATCTTTGGTAACTTTTCATTAATAGAGCATCTTTGATGGAAAAACACAAAATTTTATCACGACCATCTTGGACATAAAACTGAATATTAAAAATGGTCAATATTATTGTTATAACTATTTTTTGCTATAAATTCATTTACTTTTAGGGCCATTATACAATAAACAGCTCACTAAGGTTTTGGTTTATTTGGTCTTTCTAAAAAAAAATAAAAAAAATAAAGAAATTAAAAAAAAGCCAATAACATTTTTTTAAGTTTGTATAACTTAGAAAAAACTTACCTGAGACCCGAAAAATCGTTATGTTTCTATAGAGGTGTGCTTCTTTTGTGTATAAAATATTAAAATAAATATGATGATATTTTAATTTTAGAAATTTATATTATAGAAATCATAAACGTAATGGTCAGGGACAAGCGGTACAGTCGTGAATTGTCTGGAATAATCTAAATCTCTCCAAACAATCCTTCAATTATACTGTTAGTTATAATAACTAGGTGGCGTTAGCAGAGGCATCCACAAAATTGAGCAGAGTCATCAAGGGCTCATATTATATTGTTTTTGTCATACTGCAGTAAAAACAGTTGTTTTTAATGCATGCCTTGCTGGTCTAAAGTAGCATTTTTACTCTTTAGGGAGTAAAAATCGTTTTTAGCCTCAATGGAGTAAAAATCAGCTGTTGTCAACTCAGTTGTAAATTTCTATTACAAACGATTGCATGTATCGAAATATGTATCGATTCGTGCTTTATAACCATTTTGACCTACAGTCTACAGTCTCTTTCTCATAGCATTTTAGCATTGCAGATACATTGATCCATTCCCACATTCAACACTGCTCGCCTTTACTACTTCCTTCACCACCCCCTACGTCGTGGACCTGTTTCCCTCTCTTCCCAATCCCATAGCATTTTAGGATTTTAGATACGTTAATCTAATTGCCACAAACATTGCCCACACTCTGCACTGCTAGCCTTTACTACTTCTTTCGCCATTTTCTATGTCGTGGGCATGCTTCCATCCCTTCTCATAACATTTCAGCATTGCAGATACATTAATCTAACTGCTACAAACGGTTTCCAGTTCCCACACTCCACACCTTACTACTTCCTTCACCTCTTCTTACGTTGTGGACTTGTTTCCCTATCTTCCCATAGAATGTTAAGGTTGTAGATACCTTAATCTAATTAATCATCATAAACAGTTCCCATACCCCGAACAGCTCGCCTTTACTACTTCCTTCACCACTTCCTACGTCACGGACCTGTTTCCTTCCCTTCCCATAGCATTTTAGGATTGCAAATACCTTAATCTAATGGTCATAAACAGATCCCATACCCCGAACAGCTCGCCTTGACTACTTCCTTCATCACTTCCTATACATCGCGGACCTGTTTTCCTCCCTTCCCATAGAATTTTAGGAATGCAGATACCTAAATCTAATCGTCATAAACAGTTTCCAGACTCCAGACTGCTCACCATTACTACTTCCTTCAACATCTTCCTACGTCACGGACCTCAAGCTAGTGTCGTCATTTGATTATATTTACGATTCATACCGTTTCTGTTCTAATATCTGTGGATTTGCTATCAGCTATTTCTTTATCTACTGCATTCAAAAGTCAACAGCTGATCATATGTTTTTGTTTATGTGTCAAATACATCTATATTTATAAAAGGCAAAGCCCTCACTGACTGACTGACTGACTCACTCACTCATCACTAATTCTCTTACTTCCCATTTACCTAGGAGGCTGAAATTTGGTACACTGATTCTTTACGCATTAAATAGTAATGGTAGTAAAAATACGCTGGCCCAAATGGGCCAAAATCGTACTTTGAGGGCTTGCCAAAAAGGGTTTATGGGTCAACGCACCGACTTGAGACCCTCAAAAGGCACATCTACACGTTTAGATTAGGGCTTTCAAACAACATAAAAAACATTAAAATTGAGCCAGTGGTTTGGGCTGTAGGTCCGTCAACATTCAAGGAGAAGAAGGAGAACACGGAAAATTAGCGAATTTTCAAACTAGTTTTTCTTGGCTCAAACACAACCGTTTTTTAAATGGTTTTTTTATTTTGTTGAGAATGAGTGCCCCTATCCAGTAGATGAATACTTATTTTAATAGCTTTTGTTTCTTCAGAGCTATAGAGGAGTAAAAAAGCCACTTTGTCTTTGTCATGTATATATACACTGCAGCAGCTGTGTACCGCTGGGGGACTTGGCGGGGCGGAACGCTGCCGCGTTCCTTAATCACTTATAAAGTTAACTTATATCTATTGTATGGGTTGGTTTCTGCCTTTTTTACCACTTTTTCTTGGAGATTGTACGTACCTCTAGGTGATATTCTTTGGCAATTGCATCTGCAGACGAAAATTGGATTGGTGTAATTATTACAAGGGAAAAGAGTGAGAAATCCTGGACAATTTGATATAGGCTAAAAATAAAACTGAATTAACACTGTGCTACATTTCTTGAGCAATCATTGATAGGTAACCGATTTGCAAACAATGGAAACATAGAAAAAGTCATAGAACACATCCAGGTAAAAGAAATAGAAATATTTTTTTTACACTAAAAACATTAAAAAAACAAGATCAGCTTTTTGAAAAAAGATAAGATATTTACAAAAGATTTTGATATCTAACTGTTGTGTAGATCGTAAGTATTTCCATAATCTTTGAGTCGCCTGCAATGCTCCGCAATTGCTCGAATTCGAGCAACAGGTACACTAGTAATTATAATTATGATTCTCATTATAGATGTTTGCATTGGTTTTTGTTCTGCCACACTGTTCAATGCAAACACAAGAGATGTCTATTAAAATAAGTATTAAGAATGATTGAGATTTGCCTGTATATTCCAACCATGGTAAGTGTGTGTAACTTATTCAGTTATAGGCTAGTTTGACTAGCCAGAAAACCGGGCTGACACTAACAATGACAGGTTTTTACTTTCCTGACCCTATTTTCACAAGGTCAGTTTGTGTGGTGTATTTTCCAGGGTGGCTCTTTCAGTGACATCCATATCCATGTTAATCAGACACACAAAAAAACATTGAAAATCTTCAAAAATATTGTTCAAAATGGCTCTTCATGCTGGAAATATGTAAACACCTACACCTTACCTACTCTTTAGGTTTTCACCCTACTAGGTTTGCTGCTACGGGGAAGGTAAAAAGTGTTTTTTGACCATACGTCAATAGTATAAGATGAAATAAATAAATTAGCCAAATTTTATCAACATATATCGACAAACAAGTAAACTACAACAGTTTTAATTTTCTTTTCTCCATTAGAATAACAAGGGAATTTTAAATTAAAATATTTTTGAATTTTTTCTGTGATCGTTAGGCATACGACAGCGCTTCAATATACTAAATTATTTCTTTCTTTTAAGCTCTACAAAACGGTTAAAAAATAAATTGCAAACTTTTTGTTTTGAGAATAAAAAATAGGTGAAACCAATTTTTACCCCATAAACCCCTGTTCCCATTGTCCGATTATGCTTGTTCGCGAACTCGTTTGAATAAATGTAGGTTTACACATTTCTACCAAGTTTCATCAAAATCGGACCATTTTTGCTCGAGTTTTCACCCTAACGGACACATATATACAAATATATATTATTCTTGAGGAGATCTTGATAGAGTTTATGATTAATGAAACATGAAACATTGCAAATTTTCTTTTAATACAAATGTTTTCATGCAAAGAGAAATTAATGAAAAATGTAAAAATGAACAAAATAAATAAATTTGAACTGTTTTTCCATAAAAATATAAATATATATATGAATTTTAACGGATGGTGTTTTTGACCTCTAGGGCCCTCAAAACGAAAAATTAAATCGGTCCCGGGTCCAGGTCTTACTATTAGTACTACAGTAAATGGGAAATTCGCTAACAACATTTCATTTCATATAATTTATTCATTTCAGTACATCAATACAGGAGTAGCGATCTACACTATATAAAGTTGAAAATGATTAATTTACAACTTATCAAAATATAAGAAGGTTTCAACTGACTTATACGATCCCCGCCTATAGAACAGGCACCCTGCTAGTTAAATATCAAGATATCTCTTTTCACCCAAGACAAGGTCAGTTAGTGAAAGTAATCATTTTAACAAACATACTAAAAAAACAGTATTTTTTTTACCAGGCAGAAGTACAAACAAATATTAAAAATTTAAGAAAACATTTTCATAAAAACAATAAAATGATCTTAGTTTAATAATCTAAATGAGAAAAAAATTTAAATAAAAGTATACTGATATTCCAAATAAATATTAAACTAATCAACATAATGAATCTAAAGAGATTTGTCTCCACTTCTTCAGCCTCCTCACCCCCAACCACCATGCCTCCATCACCTTCTACCCTGTCATCAGGCCTGGAAAACAGAACAAAAATTAATACAAAAAACTGTATTCTGAACAAGTTTAGTCTTTTTATGCATACTTTTATTATTATTTAATGTGCTCAGTGGCGTACTGAGGGGGGGGGGGGGCGGTTCGCACCAGGCCCCACACCAACATAGGCCTCCAAATATCAGGGCCGTATTCCCCTAACGGCGGACACTGTGATTTCCGAGGGCTTCGGCCTGGGAAGGGGACTCACTTGCGGCCTCAAAAGAATGTTTTTTTTCTCTTGGAAAATAAAATTTCCCACAATCTGTTAGAATTAGGGGGTACAATAATCCAAGTTTAACTTGTATTCTCATGATAGGCGAAAGCGTCTGCAAAGATTGCGTGATCAAAATTTACGACTACCAGCGATCGCGGGTGACGATAATCAGGCCTCGCAACCGCGAAAGATGTTCACGATTGCTCCGAGGATGCCCACGATTATAACCACTGGAGACTGTGGAAGACGAAGATGATGACCCTGCAAACACGGAAGACGCTCACGATTTGGTCATTACCGAGGACAATATCGTTTAATTTTGCCACAAATGCAGTAGTCGTTTGTATCAATATATAAGTGCAGACACCCATACAACCCATTTTGTATAGGACAAAATATAATGTACAGAGTGTGGCAAAATTATCTGATAGTTTTCTTCGCCGCCCTGTGACGACTGGCGGAGGGTGGTGGGGATAGGGGCGCTCCAAGGCCTACGTGCGGACACTTATAGTTGCCATGGAGCTGTGGACAGCTGAGCACCATGCAATTGTAGTGCAAGTGTTTTTTAAAAGTGGCAATTCCGGTGTAGCTGTTCAGGGGTAGTCCCGTACACGTTTCCAACATGGGTCCAAGGGGAAAAGTCTCAACTTGAAACAACATTTTGCTGTGGGTCTGCACTTGGATAAGCTGTAGCTGTGCACAAGTCTGGCCACTCAGTAGAAGAAGCTACACAGGTATAGCAACTTTTAAAAACACTTCCACTACAAAAATACATGGTACTCAGCTGTCCACAGCTCCATGGCTACTAAAAATTGTTCACACGTTGGCTTTGTAACAACCCTATTCCCACCACCCTCCGCCACACACTGGCTTGACAGGGCGGCAAAGAAAACCGTAAAATAATTTTGTTTGTCAACCGCCCTGAATGACCTTTTTTATTTCTTAAGATAACAAATTGGCTTGGTGGACAACATTTTATGTCAAATGATGAGGTCATCAATGAAACAGAAGAGTATTTTTAAGGCTTTTCAAGTTTGTAGGGTACTATTTATTTGAACAGCATTTGAAGGAGGTTGGAGTTAACTTTAAGATAAGATAAATTGAAGCACGCTCGTAAAATACCTTATTGATCTATCAGAATTTTACTACTTGTTTCAACTGCTTCTGTTGACAACGCTTTTCCATTTCTCTTAAAATAATTTTTGTTTCAGTACTTACCAAATGTAAACACTATGACATATTCAGAATAATTATGTTGTCAAAAAATATAGCCTACATTTCCTAAAAAACAAAAGCAAATTTTGGGCACCTCTCCAGTTAAAATGTTCGGTACACTAGGAATTAAGGAGGGTTATGCAACATAGGTTTCAGGACACGGCCCTGGATTTATAAGTATTAAATTTAAGGAAATGGCAAAACTTACCATAAGTTAGCTCTTTTCAATCTTCGTCTTTACTTTGCCCCATCCTCCATCTCCTCTTCCTCTGGCACCTCTCCCCTGTACCCTCCAATGTCGGAGGATATTAATTACAACGCCCCCATTCTACTGGTAGGCTACAGCTCTGTACAGAAATATTGCAAAAAATAAAAAATAGTGTTATACAAATAATTTTAGTCTAACAAATAATACAAGAGTGTACACTCCTTTCTAGATTTGCGATATTCAAATAGGTACAGCTAATAGATGAAATTTTTTGGCAATCTGGGTCAAGTTAATATAAATGTTAGAAAAATGTTCCATTTTTCCACTGCCAGTGCTGGGAAAGGCCCCGGATGGAGGCTCAATAGTTAGTAGGACTGCTGTCGGTGGACACGGTCATACCGATTATGACGGAGGGTGAGGACAATTGGACCTGTGTGTCACATTATATCCAGGGTATTCTCCGCGCCAAGAAGATCGACCTTGACCGGGATGCGGTGTAGGTTATTAAGAATCTAAATGCCAGAAACGGTGCGAGCCCTGAGGGCTTAGGTCACATGTTGGCCTGACTTGAAGTAATGTGACAAACAATTCCAGGTCTGTGTCCAACAGAGTAGAGGGGGTTTTTTAGTGAGTAGTCTTGATAATTTTCAGGAGTCTCACACTACAGGCTGGCTACCTGTGTGCGTAAAAGCATTTTCCCTCATCTCCCTAAGAAAAAAAAAAAAAAATATATATATATATAAATGTTAGAACTTTTATCAATAATTTGGTTTAGACAAAATGAATTGCTTCAAACATTAATTCATTGTTATTTCCCAATTTGGAAAAATGCAAGCTATAGCCTAATTAAGACATTTCCAAACAACATGTTTCGAGATGTAATCCAAATAAATTTTAAGTAGGGGCCTAGTTTTAAATTGTTATAAAAACTAAAAATTTGCATACAGATTATAAATTATCCTCATGTTTCACCAAAAACTATTGTAACTAGTGGGCAAAGTGGCACTTTGCTACACATGAGAGAAATGTTTAAACACACGAGCCGTAGGCGAGTGTGGAAAGTATCTCGAGTGCAGCAAAAGCAGTTTGCACTTGTGTTACAATAGTTATTTTATTTGTGTAACTAGTGGGCAAAGTGGCACTTTGCTGCACACGAGAGCAACGTTTACGCACTCGCCTGCGGCTCGTGCGGAATGATCTCAAGTGCAGCAGAGGCCTTTTGCACTCGTGTTACACATTATATTTTTCCTACAATCACTATAAAGCATATAAATAAATAATTAGTCTTTCAAACACTATACAACACGTTTTTAGGTTCAGCTGGCAACACAAATAGGTGCCCTAGAGAAATAGAGAAAGTAGTACCCGGTCCGTATCACTCCGCTATTTTTCCTCGGCAAGAAATGTGCTCCGTGTTTTGAGAATATAGTTCCGTATGTTTTTGTAATTTGAAGTGGTTTCCGCGCCCTAAAAAAATGCTTTAAAGGTATTTTCTTGTTTATTAAGATTGTAGGAATGTTTTAAAAACGTTTAAAAGTAAAGTCCAGAAAGTTCAGAAATACCGAAACTATAAACACGAAATTACAGGTTAAATCGTAGTTATAGCCTAATAGTCAATCAGCTGCTCATAGTATTTTAATCTTTAAGTGTTGCCAACCTATTTCCAAGCGTACACGGATTACGTGCATAATAGAACCACGCTGTTTTGTGTTGTTTCGTTGGAATCCTGATGTGCGGCTAAGTATAAACCGTACGGCAAAGTATAAATAAGCAGCTTTCTGTACTATAAACAGTACAAGGAAGCCAACTTTGTCGGTTGACTGTAGGAAAATTATATTTGTCTTACAGTTATTATAAAACATATTAAATAATTAGTCTTTCAAACTCGGTTCAACACGTTTTTAGGTTAGGTTAAATCCAAACATTGGTGAAATGGTAAGCTGTACCAGTTGATCCTAACATCTAGTATAATATCTAGTCGTAATATCTTGAATGCATAGCCAACTTATTTTCAAGTATATGTATGTATTACGTGTCTAGTTTAATAAAACCAGGCTGTTTTGTGTTGTTTAGTTGGAATACTGGAGTGCGGCAAAAAAAGAGTGCGGTAAAAGTAAGTAAATGCAGCAATTAGCAACTTTCTGTGCTATAATAAGTACAAGGAAGGCCACTTTTTTGTCAGGTGACAGTTGGAAAAATAATTCACATGCGCTTCATTTTGAAAACTGTGAATGACTGACTTAAACGACCTTTTTATTATTACTGTTATCATGTTAAAATGTGTAATTTTGCGCTAATGCTGCCTAGTTATTAGTTTATAACTAATGTGATAACTGTATACACACATTTTTTTTTGTCCTAGGACGCTACAGGCACTAGTCCGGAATTTTAATTCACATTTCACACTTCAGCCTAGGTCTAGGGCTGTGGTATTCAGACAAAAAATAATAATAAAAATAAATAATGAAATACATTGGTCATCTGGCAGAATTTGAGCCCCAGCCCGGTACTGAAGTTCTGCTCGCTCCCCTAGGGTAAAGAATTTAGTCAATTGTAGGCATTAGGCAGGCCTATAAAATACGTAGAGGAGGCTATGACTTAGAGCATTGGAACGCTGAGAAATATGATCAGTCATTAATATTAATCGGGGCCAATCGATGTGACGTCAATAGGCCTATGAGCGAAGACAGAATCATATTTAGTAAATAAAGTTGTCACTTCCAATTGCTTGGTGTTGAAAACAATCAGCTGTAGGCTTAAGTTACTTCACCCACAGTTCATTCCACTTGTTAATGTCATCCACCCTACCTTGACTATTCAAACATTTTGAGCGGCGATTTATTCCGTTTCCGTAATATTCATCTGCAGTGAAAAATAGTGGTCTATTTGGATTCAGTACATAAAAAACTACGCAGAGGATACGGGCCCGGTAACCGGACGTGGATTAGGCATCCGGCAGCTACTGTCATAACCTAACCTAACCAACCAAACTTGCTGATAATTGTAAAAATTGAGTGAAGGTTAAATTCTGTCCATAAAATAAATTTATAAAAGTAAAATACTTAAACAACAGATAGCCTATTGTACAGTTAAGAATAAACCCAAATATGGAGAGTAGGCCTAGGACATAAAAATGTTCTTTCCATTTATGATAACCCAACCTAACATAACCGCCGCAAAGCGCTGTATATCTGTAGCCTCCGGATAATACTTACCACAGAACCGCTTTGAACATTGAATAACTTCAAACATAGCCTAGAATCTATCCCAAAAGGGGAAGAATATTGACTCACCTCACTTAAGTTATGGTTAGACCAAGGAACATTATCACAGCAGTATGGTAATTGCCTCCAGGGTACACAACTCTGGTCTCTCTCTCTCATCTGCAGTGATGTCGATAGCAATGTCGTCCAGAAAGGTCAGTCCTCTTAACTTACAATATTTAAAATAAAGACCAATTTGGGTTCAGGTCAAATTACAGCCTTTGCTCCAGGATCATCTATAAAATTAACATTGAAGTCATCAGCAATGAATGATATAATCCAAGTCAGCTCTAGAATATTTGACAGCACTTAAGTTTACGTCCTACACTCATTCCAATGAAGGTATTTCTTTAATAGGCCTACTTTCTTTCTTATTACTTGACGACCATACAAAGTAGGTATTTTAAGCCAAGTATGAATGGAGATGAGTGTAGGATGAGTGGAGCGATCCTGTAGTCTTGTTAGTGACTAAGACCGACATTCCTTAGACACAACTGTTAATTAATAGCCCAAACAGCTAATGGCAACTAAGGGACATACAGTTTATAGTGGAATCCGAACCACATTATTGCCTTGGTATAGGCCTACTATACGAATTGGTCTAATTATCAGGATAGTACTGGGGAGAGTCGTAGTAAGTATTCACTCGTGTGGACGTTCATCCACACCAGGGAGTGTCGAATCCACAGTGCATGCCTATAAATATCCACAATTCGTGACCTCCTAGTAGCTGGATTACAGGACGGCGCCACCCGTCCCGGAGTCATATTGATTATTTCATTTGATAAACTTAGGCCTAGGCCGGCTGCACTTTACTTTACGTCCTACACTCATTCGAATGAAACTATCGATTGTTCGATTGTTTCATTCGATATACCGTTTCGTTAGGTAGTTAGGCCTACCGTACGTTACCGTAGGTAAAACCTTACCTAAGTTAACTTACCAAACCATATATCAAATGATACAAACGATTAGGCCTAATCGATATATCGATCGATATTTTCATTCAAATGAGTGTAGGACGTAAAGTAAAGCCCCTAGGCCTAATATTAAGTTTGGTTAGTTAGGGTAAAACCTAACCTAACTAAAGGAATGAAATATTCAAAATACGGGTACAGTTTCTTAACTGGGCTATGCTAATATAGATTGAAACTATCGATTCGATTAGTAAACCTTCATGCGATTTTTTTGCCATCAGCAAGTTTTGTTACATAAACAAATTCTTAAAGTTGACACTGGGTCAGTGGGAAAAAGAGACTATCCTAATAGCCTAGGGATAATGCCTATTCAAACATTTGCTACAATATTGTTTGATGATCCAGAATTAGCCTACGAATAAGCTGTATCTTAGGTTCTTGTTGCTTGTTGGTGACTTACCGAAGTTAGTGTCTGGTAGGACTAATGTTATGAAGTTATCATGTTGATTAAGTTTTTATCCTATAAAAATTAACTTATTTCACATTATTCCTTGAAAACTATTGTTTGTAACACTCGAGTCATCTATTTTCTTGTAAAGAAATAAAAAAGATAAATATTTACAATATACTTAAAAGTTTTTAGTCTTAGTCAATAAATGGCCAGCTTGAAGATGTCCGTCGGAATTCGGAATCAAATATTGCGAGTTGCGACTCGTGAGTCGTGAGTTGAGGAACTGAACGATGAATTAGAACAACTCCTTTTCAAGAGTAGCTCCGAAGAACGGGAGCTTGTCGATATACTGGGACTATTTCAGTGTCGACATAGTGAAACTATTTCATTGTCGACAATATGGGATGTCGACAATTTGTGGTGTCGATCATTTGCGACGTCGGTTATTTGGGATGTCGGTTAAGTGGGAATATTCCAGTGTCGACAAACTGGGAAAAATTCAGTTTCGATCAATTTCTACGGTTGTCGATATTGTGGAACCCACCCGTGGGGCGTGGGGCGTGGGTCCCATTCCTATAACACTAACCATATTGGACCCCACGAATACTTATGAGAATCTATTAAGCTAGGCTGCATGACACTTCATAAAGCCCAGAAACAAGAATCTAAAGATTGCAGAAACTGCAGAAAGAACAAAGAAAAAGAGCACTAAAAAAAGTCCGATGTCGACGATGTCCGAATCCGAACCGACCGAATCCGAAACGAAACACTGTCATCAATCATCATATTTACATTCTCTTAGGTCTTGTTCTACTTGACTTGTATGTATATTTGTCATTTTTTTGTGTAGGTTAGAAAGAAGTCCTATTTAGGTAGTTTATTCCGGTAAGTTTTTGTTATTGTTTACTAACTAGATTATTGTACATGGCATCATATTTTTAGATTATGTGAATAATTTGATTCTTCAAGCACATAACTTTCATTAAACTCTAAAGTTATAAATAGCCTATTTCTAGAGAAGTATTTTCTCCATTACAGTTAGGCCTAGGACTAGTTTAAGTAACCTTTTACAATTTCTAAAAAAAAAAATATTCATAATTCGAAATTTATTCTTAATTCTAAAAGCCATGTAGGCCTATGGGGTACAGTTTCTTAACTGGGCTACGCTAATATCGATTGAAACTATCGATTCAATTAGTAAACCTTCATGCGATTTTTTCACCATCAGCAAGTTTGGTTGGTTAGGTTTGGTTATGATAGTTTTATAATATATATATTTTAAAATATTGATTATCAATCAATATTTTCAATTCAATAGTTCAATAGTGATATATCGATCAATATTTTCAATCGGTTGTTTGTGTCAACAGATGCGGAAGTCTTAGTTGCAGAGTTTGCACCTTTGAGTTAAAAACACTTGCTTAAAACCAATGTTTGCAACAATTAAAGAAAGCTATTTTGTTAATAACACTTTGCTGGTGTCATTAGCTTAGGCTACAGTGCAGCTGGCACTTTTCTTTCCACAAGCAGTTGACAACAAATCAAAGAGGAATGTAAATTATATGAGGTTAGCGTTGACAACACCCTGTCAAAAGCCTTACAAGAAATCTTATTATGATGGAATGCTTTAAAAGCTGTTCGTTAATGATATCAACAAAAGTTCTAAACATTTTTGGTTATAATTTCCAGTGTAAACACAACTTAAAGCCTCTCTAGTTGGCTAAATATCTGTAGGTTTGCATTTTTTTCTTTACTTGCTCTTAACTTTCATATAATTTTATTTTTCCCCACTGCTTGGATCTTTACTAGGTGTGTCTTGTGTCACAGGATAATGAACTAGTCAAACTTGTAATCTCACTGAAAGGACCAGAGGTTGACAAAAACCATACATTAATGGAAGTTGATGAGGCAGTGCAGGCCACCAATGATGATGCCAGTGAGTGTAAGCGTTGCGCTGTGCAACTCGGCTACTGGGAAGACAAGTATATCCACCATCTTGTCCGAGGGAGGGAGAGGAAAGCACCAGAAATCAACAGAGGCTACTTTGCCAGAGTTAAAGGAGTTGGAATGCTACTGAACAAAGTTTTAAAGGTATGTTAATAGGCAAATTATTTTGTTTGGTTTTGTTCTGTAATGTAAACACTTTGGTAACCGAACTGCAAATTACTAATTTCATATCAATCTCTGCTTTCAAGTTCTTCAAAAAGCTCCCTGCTAAGATTCGGTCTAGATTAAAGGGATTTCAATGTGGCTATGACAGATTACAGTACTTCTGAGTAGGCGTACCTAGACGGCACAGAGTGAGACAATTAATTGAGCGGAGCGAGCAAAGCTCTTTAAGATCGGACTTATGCAAACTTTGTAATGGAGATGGGAAATACCGTTACTTTTTGGTAATAGGTGAAATAACACTATTATTTTTGTCACCTTCTCTTTTTTATTATTTCCCCTTCCAGCGTTATTTCTCTTACTACGACGTTATAAAAATAATACAATTCTCAATAAACTACATGGTGTCTACTCTCCGGGAAAACTCCGGGAATTTTTTCTTACCTTGAAATGTCCTGGAAAACTCCAGGAATCCACGGAAACCTCCGGAGCCTGGTCATCGGAATCGTCGGCTAACAGCAACACTACCGCTTTTGTTGCCGAAATTGAAACGAGCATTGGAAGCATCGGAAACGATTATCGGTGTCGCTGAAACCGCAGGACATGCTCACGGGTATTGCCGCGATCGTGGGAGACGATTATCGGTGTTGCTGAAATCATAAAATATGCGAACCTGTTTTGCCGCGATCGGTTGCAGGTTTTGACGAGACTGTAAGTTATGCTCACTGGTATTCCCAAGATCGCGGGAGATGATAACTGGTGTTACCTACCAGTTATACTGTTTTATTATTTTGTATAAAATATTATTCTTTGGAAAAGTTTTGTTTCAAATAAAAATAATTAATAATTATTAGCGGGTTGTGATTAGTTGAGCGGGTTGCAATTAGTTGAACGTGTTCCGATAATAGCTCTTAAAATTGAGGAATTTGTCTTTAATCTCCTGGAAAACTCCTTGAATTTTTCAAACCAGGTTTAGTAGACACCATGAACTATTACCTAGTGCTCGCAATTAATTAATAGGATTATATGGTCAGCGTTATTTCACTTGTTTGTACCGGTACTACAATGTTACAAAAATAATATGATTCTGATCAGTAAGCTATTACCAAGCGTTTATTAATAGGATTACTTGGTCAGTGTTATTTCACTTGCTCGACCTTCCAGTTCAGAGGACGTTACAAAAATAATATGATTCTCAGTAAAATATTGCCAAGCGTTTACTATTAATTTGTAGAACGAGACGGCTGACCATTATCTATACTTATTTAATACGCAGGCATGTTTTTTGTGACAATTACTCCTCCGAAACTACTGAACCGATTGACATGTTTTTGGTGTCATTGGAAAGAGCGTAGCGTGAAGTTGTGCAGGAAACTTTCTTTTTAGGGAAATAATTAGAGAGTGAGGCCTGGGGGCCCTTTAAAGTTTCGTATTTCTCCATAAGATTAACATGGGAAACAAACATTGTTATGAAACTACAGCTGTTGTCAGAAATGCTGTTCTGCTATTTAATTTAATTTGTTTACAAGGAGAATTGTTTCTTGGTGCCATGTGGTCAATGAATTATACTTTTGAATATATTTTAAATGCTATGCACTATATAAAAAGATAGTACTGTAATACATTATGAGATCTTAATTTAAATAATCAATAAGCAGGATTGAGCTTTTGCCTATATGTTTGCTGGTAAGTGTGTTGTAACTGTTTCTCACAGTATATTATAGTATCTTAAAGTAAAACCGAATTATTCTTTTCTGCATTCTCACCCCGTAGCGAAGCACGGGCAGAGCCACTAGTTATTAGTTATTTCACTAGCACTAGGTTCAGAAAACATTAGAAAAATAACAGACCTTAGTAACCTGTTACCAAGGTAATAGGTGAATCTTCAGTAATAGTGTTATTTATCCTATTACGTTACGCCCACTCCTACTTTGTAGTAGAATTATTCAACAACGGCTGAACACATTGAAGCTTTACAGTACAATAGCCAAAAAAACAAATTCATTTACTATAGCCTAATACAAACTACATTTTTACGACAATACAAAATGTTTTTGCGGCAAGAAGGCAAATTAATGGGAAGTAATTTGATAATTCGATAAGTCAGTAATCTGGATTCAGTTACATAATAAGAACTTTACCGTGACTCATACATTTTTCTATAATTTGAATAGGCTACAACTTTAAAGATGTAGTTAGTAGTCCTATTTGCTACAACTGATAGTCCAGATATTGCTAAATGGATGGCCTACGTATGGCCTACTTTGCCTTCTTTAATAGTATTTAAAGCTACGGTATTTTGCTGTGGGGCTGTGGTCATGATGTTAGCAGAATCTTGCTCCTACAAAAAAAGGCTTTAAGAATCATTACTTTTTCTAAGTACAGAGCCCATTGCAAACCCTTGTTTATTCAGGAAAAAATACTCACTGTTTTTAATTTATTTATTTATGTGTGTCTTGTTTATGTAAAGTTAATATTAATTCTCTAGCCTTGAGATCACATTCACATAGTCATTTTACTAGACATAGGAATAATTTAGAGTTACCTTTAGTCAGGCTAACAAAGTCACAAGAATCTTTTTCTTATATAGGGTTAAAGATGTTTAATCGTTTGCCAGCTGAGGCAAACTGTGTTGATCTTAAGTTATTTAAAAGTAAACTTTTTTGCTGGTTATTAAATCGCCCTTTTTATAGTTTAAGTGATTTTTTTATGTCTGACATTGATATTAGGTTTTAGTTTCTGACTGATGTAGGCCTTAAATCTGTAACTTACTTTGTTGTTTAAATTATTTGTAGCCTAATTTATTGAATGTTATGGGCCCTAATTAATATAGAATAGAATAGAATAGAATAGAAAAATTCTTTATTGCTCAATGTACATAATATACAGTTATTGTAAACAATCACAATAGTATTGAACACAATTCTGGTTATACTATTTATACAAATATGCCTATGAACTTACACAAAATTTTTTAAACCTTAACTGTTTAAAACATGGGATATAATAATAAATAGAATCATAGAGCAATAAAGCCCTGAGGTTATAAACCTGTGCGGGATCTATATATGAATCTTACACAAACTCAGTAGGCCTAGTAGGGTAGAGAGTGCCTGGCCGGATCAGTACCACAGTTATACTACACAATATTTAAAAATAACATAAACGTGGCTTCTTCACATGAAACAATATTAACTTACTTAATTCTTACGTCTTATTAAAGTATTAGGCATTGTTTAACAAACTATAACTAAGACTATAACTATCAAAGGAAAACACTATGTCTTTATATTAGAGTAGTAAAAAATTGATTAATGTCATTATGGTTAAGTAAGTAGTTACGTATAATTTTATTGAATTGGTTCTTGTTTTTACACTCTTTAATATAGTTTGGAAGTAGATTATAAAACGTTGGTGCTAAGTACAAAAAATATTTTTTGAAGTGGGATAAATTGGGTCGCGGAACATACATTTTACCCACGTTCCTTAATGTGATATAGCCCTGGTTCATTCTGTGTGTATCACATCTATTAAAAAAAATTCTTAAAACCTTAAAAACGTATAAGTTTCTAAAGGGCAAAATGTTTAAACTTTGGAAAAGAGGTAGAGAAGGTTTGGTTTTTGTTTCGTTTAGTATTATTCTGACGAAGGCTTTTTGTAGTGTGATTATTGGTTTTAATGTGGTAAAATATGTCCCACCCCAGATTTCTATGCCATATTCAATTTTTGAATTTATGAATGCGAAATAAATTGATCTAAGAAGCTGTATATAACATACGCTTCTGAGCATGTAGAATATACGGATGTATTTTACTAATTTTAGTTTTAAGTATGAAATATGTTCTTTCCAATTAAGTTGGCTGTCCACGTATAAGCCTAAATACTTTATGCTTCCTACTTGCTCAAGGTCTTGACAGTTACAAATGTTAAAACTTGTAGGGCATGTTACGTTGTGATATTTCAGGGATTTTGCAAAGTGTGTATGTTTTGTTAGGTTGAATATGATATATTTGGTTTTTGGGCTCATGACCATTAAATTTGATGTAAACCACCACCTCAGAGCATTCACGTCATGTTGCATTTTAGTATTCATCAGCCACTGAGCAAAAAAAGTTATTTAAGGTATTCGTAACCTCATCGGGGTTGTCAATCAATTGCCCGATTTCATTTTTTAGTACAATTGGGGTACTACCTTTATGCTTTGCACCTGTTAACTCTTTTATCAAATTCCATTGGTTTTTACTATTTTTCATGTTATTTTCTAACTGGTCTGAAAAGTACTTATTTTTCGCATATCTTATTTGGTTTATAACTAAATTCTTAAAATGTTTGTATCTCTGTTCTAATGTTGGGTCATTTGGTTTTTTCAAGAAATCTCTATAAAGTTTGTTTTTAATTTTAATATTATGTTTTATAGTTGCATTCATCCAAGGGTTTTTAAAGTTTGATTTTATGTTTATAATTTTATAGGACTCATTAATGCAATGTTGTAGTTTATGTGAAAAATAATCAAAGGAAGTCGAAGCTGAATTTGTTGAAAAGGCCGAACTCCAATCTGTTTTGCTTACAACTGTTTTCAAATGTGCAATGTCCAGTTTTGAAAATTTTTTTCGTTTTACTACTTTCCTTAACTTGAACCGGTTTATTGTACCTCATACAAGCTACAGTTGACCAATGATCGGTTATACATGTTTTGATTACTTGGGCTTCACAAATGAAATTACTGTTAAGTTTACTTCGTAAAAAGACATGGTCAATACATGTTTTTGTTAGCTTTGTAACCCTGGTGGGCTCATTGATTAGTGACTTTAGACCATGACTGGCCATTCTAATTAAGTATTTATCACATACAATTGATTTATCAATAATGTTAATATTAATATCTCCATTTATCATTAAGTTAGCGGTTTTAATTAATGCTAGTATTGTATCTAATTCATCAACGAAATTGTCCGCGGCGAATTCATGTAATAATCTATAAATCGCCAAGATTTCAAAGGAATTATTGGCGATTAAGGATATTTTTAAATGCACACAATCAGCTGTTATCATATTTGTGCTGTCCAACTGGATAGCTGTTATCTTATCAGTCACAAATACAACTACTCCACCTGATCTTTGATTAGAGTTACATTTTACAAACATTGAATAATTAGGTAGGCTGTAGAAATTTACCTCGCTTGTATCAATCCAAATCTCTGTTAAAATTATAATATCTGGCATTTGATCAATAGAATGTAATTCCGAGACAAAAGAATCAAAATTTTTCCTTAAGCTACGAATGTTTTGCTGTAACACTACGATATCATTTGAACAAAGATTATTAAAACTAATACTATTCATTTGAATGATTAAACCTCAATGTACAATTGCACTTCCATTTCTGAATAAAAGACCAAAAACACAAAAGACAAAAAGTAACACCAAGAAAATAATACTGTTTACTGTTCGGAGGAGGCCGCATCCTGAGAATCAGATGAATTCGGCGACGCTGGCGCAGGTGCAGGTTCAGGGGCATGTCTTGGTAGCTTCTCCAAGTCCTCCATTGTAGTGACTGCAATTATTCTAGTGCCTTCCGTTGGTCGTACGAGGATCGTTCCACCTCTCACCCATACGTAGCTGTATTTATAAGTTTTCTTTAGAGTTCGGACTTCCTTGTAAACTTCACGTCTTGCTTTGGTCAAACTTTCATTAATGTAGACAATTTCAGCAGGATGATCAACATAGCCAACGTCGTGTGTATTGAGATCGCGCTTAACTCTTCTCTGCTTTAGGAACTCTTCCTTTTTGATTCTTCTGGTAAACTTAACTATTATACCTCGGGGCTGGATTCCATTTCTGTGCTTAGGTCCAAGTCTGTGACACGCATCCACTGACTCTTCCGTTAATGCTACGTCTAAGCTTCTTCCAACACTTTTTACCACTTCTAAAACATCTTCTTTCTCAATCTCGGGTATTCCATTTATCTCGATACAATTTATACGAGAATACTGGTTTGACTCATCTTCACGCCGCTCAAGTTCCTTTATGCGTAGGTGTAGTTTTTTATTTTCTTCAAACAAAGAATCAAACATTTTTTCAAATTTATTTAAAGACTCAGTCTGTTTTTGAACTGTTTTCCTTAGGTCCTCGATGGTTTCATGGCAATTTTCCACCGATTTACCAAGTTCGGTTTCCAGGTTCTTTATTTGGTCTTTATTTTCTTGTCTTAGTTCCTTGAGTAGGTTGATAACATCTTGGATGTCTGGCTTATTTTCTTCAAGTTTTGATTCGACCTGCATACTTTTCCTTCGCTCCTTACTACAACCATCACATCTCCATATTTGCTTTTCTTTTTGCATGAATTCTGCATCTTCTTTTGATATATTTACACAAGATCCATGAAAATGTAATAAACAATCCTTGCACTGCACTTTAGGATGCCGATTTGTGATGTTTTTTTGGCAGCTCTTACACTTTTCAGACATTTTATTTAGCAACACCGAACAAAAACTATATAAAACACTTAAATGAAGGACGCACTGAGAACTGAATTTATTTAACAAGATAATACTTAAAAGAGTTGGATTTGGGAAGCCAAAAACATAAACATTAAATAAGCAGGAATAGCTTATCAATACCTTATCAGTGGCATCTGACCGAGGCAGGGCAACCGTACACTCCGAGCGCTGGCTCATAACTGATATGCTATCCACTGGACATTTTATCCTTGCAGATTACTGAGACTTCTTAGCCAAAGTTACTCTCATATTGACCTCAACTATACAAAATGTTCTATTTGTAATTTGTTGCAATAAATTCTTGATTCTTGATTCTGATTAGGTATGTTTCCTATATTCTAGAAAACTGGACAGAAGTGTCAGATCATCAATCTCGGAGCAGGATTTGACACGTTGTACTGGCGGCTGAAGGATATGGGTTACACCGTTGTCAACTTCACTGAAATCGACTTTCCCAGTGTTACATCTAAGAAATGCTTCTACATCAAGAGGAATAAGACACTTCTTGATGAAATATATGTTGAAGGTAAATAGTCTTTTGTAAAAGATGACAGACCTATCTTAGGCCTGCCTAAACTCGAAACTTTATAATATAAAAATAAACCTTTGTTTAGCTATACATAACTACCCAAGAGGAGTGTTTAATGTGACTGTTTGTCAGATGGGGAGGTAAGGTTGAGTGCAACAGATCTCCACGCAGGCAACTACCACGTGGTCGGAGCAGATCTTCGCAACTTGGCTGAGGTACAGCACAAGCTAGCACAGGCTGAGATCAGCTTTGACATTCCGACCATCTTCATCGCTGAATGTGTCCTTGTTTACATCGAGACAACTCTAGTCAGTCAACTACTCTCGTGGATTGTCAGCGCCTTTCCCACCGCCTTCTTCATCAATTATGAGCAGGTAGTTCAGAGTGTTAGTATAGACTATTGTATTTGATATTTTTCATTTTTGATGAATTATTCTTCTAATAAATTTATTGAGCGAATAGATTATATTTGTACGATAACTATATTTGGCTCGCAACATAGGCTATGTGTTGGAAACATCTGTTAAAATTGTCACTCTTTGTGGATGGCTCTATGCTGTGAAATTTAAGGCTACAGTGGTATATAATTGTAAATTTGCTGTGTGGTACAGTCAAGTTTTCTTTCTATAATCAGTTATTGTCTAACTGGTTTCTTTAGTAAGTATATCAAAATAGCTACAGCCGTTTAGGAAAATTTGCTAAAACACTATCTCTTCTGTAAGCACTGACACACTACCCAGTTGCAAAGTCTGAAAAGAGGATTCCTACTCATATGAGACCAAAATGCTTATCATCCTGGATTTTCATTTGTTCTCCTGGTGTTTGTCTTTAACAATATGTCCACTTCTTGATCTTTTAAACCGTAAACTCAGGCAAATTCCACTAGTAATAATAATAATAATAATAATAAAATGCCTTTATTTAAAGCGGTCTTCAGATACACTGGTTTTCAAGACAACTCAAAGTCACAAAAAATTTACAAGTACACAATAATTACAAACAGTGGAACTAAACTAGCTTTAGATTGGCCTTAAATGAATTACATGACATGATTTTCATGTTTCTTGGGAGGGTGTTGTATGCCTGGGGTCCAACGTATGAGAACCCCTTTTTACCTATCTCACGCCGCACTCTCGGCATTTCAAGCAAGCCGTCCTGCCTAGTACAGCGTTCCCTAACTGATGTTCGAGGCATAAGCTTCCTTTTCAAATAGGGAGGCAAATTAGAAGACAGTGTCTTGTGAACAATTAAAACAGTTTGTAGAAAACATTGTTTTTCCAAAGAGAGTACCTTAGCCTGTTTGCGATAGGCAGATATATGATCAAACTTCCTCAGATTGAAGACAAACCTCAGGGCTCGGTTTTGCAACCTCGTAAGAAGAACTCTACAGTCAAGAGTAAGACATTCACCAAACGATGGAAGTGCATAGTGAATAATAGGGAAGACTGTTGATTTGACCAATTCTAGCTTAGCATTTTCAGATAGTATCCCTCTCAAACGGTGTAAAATTCTCAACCTATTTGAGACTCTCTGACAAATGTAACTAACATGTGAGCGAAAATTGAGTTGAGAATCAATTCTGATACCTAACACCTTAACAGAATCAGACACCACAAGAATTTGACCGTCCAGCTCTACCTTTCCAATAAGACTATTTTTAGGCTGCAAACCAGAAGACCAGAAATGAAGTACACTTTTCAGGATTCAATTTTAGACCGTGATCGTCAGACCATTGCTTTACCCTTAGCAAGTCAGTGTTGATGAGATTGACTGCTTCATGAAAATCAAAAGGGGCGCGGGAAAGAACTAGTTGACAATCATCAGCGTAGGAATGTAAAGTGGAAGATTTCAGAACGCTATCGAGGTCATGGGTGTACAATATGAAAAGTATTGGACCCAGACAAGTCCCCTGAGGGACCCCTACTTCTCTTTGAATCAACTCGGAGCACCTACCATTCACCTTAGTCACCTGGGATCGGTTACAAAGATATGAGGAAAACCATTTGAGTGTACACTCATGGAATTTTAGAAACCTGAGCTTTGATATGAGCATGTCGTGATGAACAGAGTCGAAAGCATTTGAATAATCAAGTGACGCCATAAAGCTGTGCAACCCTTGGTCCTTGGCCTGAAGAAGCTCATCAGTCATATTGAGAAGAGCAGTGCAGGTGCTGAACCCTCTACGGAAACCTGACTGTGATTCTAAAAGTATGTCCGACTCCTCCAGGTAACTTACCAACTGTTCCACAACAATTTTCTCTAAGATTTTCGAACAAACAGGCAGAATTGATATTGGGCGGAAGTGGCTACTCGTAGTTGGATTAGAGCACTTTGGGAGCGGAATCACAATGCTTTGCTTCCAACTATCAGGGAAAACTCCAGTCTCTAGTGACACATTAATCAGATGAGTTATTGCTGAGACACAATAAGGGCTAACACCTTTTAACATATCAATTGATATGCCATCGATACCAGATGCCTTTGAACGTATTTTATTCATAGTGTCTATAACTTGCTCTTTGGTGACAGCTCTAAATTTGAAATTATTCTCAACTTCTCCACAGTAATTTTCCTGATAGAATGCCAATCTCTTTTGGTCAATACTGTTACCTGATCCCATACTTGCAAAAAACATATTTAATTCATTTGGAGGAAGTTGACAAGGGCTTTCTTTTTCACATTTTTCTAAAACGCCACTTTTAGACAGTGTTGACCAGAACTTCTTAGAATTTTTGTAATCTAGGTTGTGCGCAAAATATTCTTTCTTGGCCCTTCGAACAGCACTATTCAGTACAGGGTGATTAAAAAAGAATGGTGCAAAACTAAACGTTTGGTATGTCTGTTTCCGTGATTTCAAATAACTGATTGTTACACCAATGGAAAGGGTGTGTTTATAAGTTTGTTTTGACAAGGTTATGTTTTGTCTCAGTTGCTTGGTTGAGTAGCACAAAGCCTGCCAACAAAATCAAAGAATATCAACATGAATCGAAGCTATTATAGTAAATAGCTGAGCCTTTTTGCTTGTCAGTAAGCTTCAATGCTTTTAATAACTGAAGTTTGTCCTGGAATTTGTCTCAAAGGCTTGCGTAAAACCATGGACTGCTTTACGTGAGGTTCCCTACCAGCTTTAGTTTGTGCAGAGTCCAAAAACCTCGACAGTCTTAGCTTTGATTCTCTCCACAGCGCCTGGCGGAGTCTGAGGACGACCCAAACTCTTCCCGGCACACAAAAACATCCAACTGTCTTGAATTGCCTCATCCAACGAACCTTGCAGTTCCTATGTGGAGCCTCCTTACTAAACTTTGTCCGAAAGTTCCGCTGAACACTAACAATAGCATTAGTATGAGCTAATTGGCTAATTCTAAAACATAAAATGCTTTTCCCTGTTTTGTAGTAGCCAATTGTTGGCAGATTTTGTAATACTTAAATAAACAAATGAAAGAAAACACTACCTTGTCAAAACAAACTTATAAACGCGGAACACACACTTTCCATTGGTGTAAACGCATTCAGCTGTTTTAAATCGCGGAAACGGGCTTACTAACCGTTTAGTTTTGCACCATTATTTTTTAATAAACTCATAAAAATATGCCAAATATTTAATTTTAAGTTGGTTGACATAAAGTTAAAACTTTCATAATTTGATAGTAAAAGGCATTGTAGAAAAGGCAATTAAATGGTGAATTAACATAGTTATGAAACACAGGTTAATATGGGAGACAAGTTTGGACAGGTGATGATGAACAATTTGCGAGCTCGGGGTTGTCCGTTGGCCGGGGTCGAGGCTTGTCACTCCCTCGATAGTCAGATGCAGAGGTAAGCTAACATCGTAATGTTTTAAGTGCAATATCGTGGTCTTCAGGGTCAAACCGTGTCAAGTTAATGGGTAATTAGGGCTGACGTTTTAGCCTTGTAGATTGCTATCTTTAGAGCAGTCACAGAGCACCACTGACGTCTTCAGGCGGAAACAGTTGCCCAAGTAACCTGTGTAATTTGGCACACAGTTTTACCTCTAAATGCCACAATATTGCTGCCAAGTGTGACCATCGATGTCTTGCTTCTAGTAATTTGTGGATTGCCTGATATTAGCTTTAAATTCTTGTGTATTGTTTATGATTTATGATGGGGGTAGGAGTGGTACCAAACACTTTCCTTGGGAAACAAAACATAGAAATTAAATGAAAATATGTAAACTATTTATTTGTCACTTTTATTATAATTTACATTGTGATTTCTTTATATGAATCGATGCTATATTTTTTTAGCTTTTAGTTTTATTTATTACAGGTATTTTAAAAGTTTTCAGAATACGGAACAATTTACTGTTCCTTTTTTGGGACAGGAAAAAATATAGAAAAATCTACGACTGTCCCATTTTTCTGTACGACAGCTCTACAAAGTTCTTGGATGAGCAGGAGCTGTTGATACATGGAGAGAGTTGACATGTGTGTTTGTGATCAGGTTTGTAGGGACGGGATGGGACGGCTCGCGGGCGTGGGACATGGTCCAGGTGTACAACACAATCCCTGCCAGTGACAGACAGCGTATAGAGCAGCTGGAGTTCTTGGATGAGCAGGAGCTGTTGACTCAGCTGTTTCAGCACTATTGCGTGGTCGTAGGGTGGCACGGTCCTCTACTGGCCGACGTGGACATCTCATAGCAACCACCTCCAGACTGGCACACCACCTTCACTGACAAACTCACCATCTAGCACCTGCCAACCACGCAAGCACAAATTACTTCAGCTTTGTTTTCTTTTAGTTTTAGTCCATTTGCGGATTCTTGGTCAGCTTTGTGTTTCGAGTCAATTTTAGAGGGCTGACAAAAAATTACGTGAGAAAATATATCTAACCTATAAACCCCTGAAACCGTTTTATTTATTTATTCATTTCTTATTTAACAGTACTTAAATGAGTTGTTAAATCCCAACTCATTTATGATGTATTGATTTTCGTAAATTCATTGAAAACATTGTCATTTATTTGTCTAAAACGTCAATTATATAGTTATTGTTTTACAGTAGTTGTTTAATATTCTGCAGACTATGTCTATTTTTAAATAATGTATTTCATAATTGATTTTACCTGAAAAATACAGTTAAAATAACATGGAATGTTGGCAACCAACTGGTGAATTATTGTACTTGTATAGTTAATTTTTACTCATTGTCTTAAAAAAACTGTTGCACAGCATCTAAGTATTCTGTGGTTTACATACACTCTACATATTTCAAATTTGTGCCAATTTTTACATGTGTCAAGACGTATAAAATGATCAAATGTTTGTTGTTTTTGCCATCGTCACTTTGTGCATCGTGAGTAACTACATTAATGTCTACAATGGTTGGAAATACTGACAATCCCATTTTAGATATAATGATAACACTGTACTCAGTCTTATTGCATAATCAGTATTGCCAACTTAAATGTGATTTATAATGAAATTATATTTTCTCAAACTATAGACTTAACTTTTATAAAACTTTTGTAATCAATATTCTACTGTAACAACATGAAAAAATGCAATTTTCACTGTGGTTTATGTTGGTAAAGTCATGACCATACTTAATCCTTCTCTGTGAAAACTATGCACCTCCCAAAGCAACTATCTGTCTTATAATACAAAGTTGACAGTATTCACATCACATTAATATTTGTTGTATCATTAAAGTGTAAAGCAGTGCTAATTCTGGTATCAGAGGCACATCTCTGATGTTGGGTCCTAGTTTGAAATAGTTAAGATATTGTGTACCTACCAAAGTATAATCTTTAAGGATAACTGGTCTGTTTGAATGCAAATTTTAAACTTAAACTGTCAGCAAGATCTACTAATTTACATACAAAAATTGGCTGATTTTGGCTTATAAAAAGTACAAAGCGTAGAAACCCCCAAGTTTACTTTTATTCTTGCTATATACAGGAAACAGTGTAATGTTATTAACAGTATGTCTTGGAAAACGTTTGGTGTTTAAAAAATACATAAAATATCAAACTTGAACTGTGATATATCTATGTTTTCAGATAGAAGTCTTAATTTTTAAATAAACAGTGTTGAAAAATATAATGCATCTGTCAATGCTTTGTAAACTACTTGATTTAAACATATCTATAGACTATACTTATTTAATACGCAAGCAGGTTTTTTGTGACAATTACTCCTCCAAAACTACTGGACCGATTGACATGTTTTTGTTGTCATTGGTTGGAAAGAGCGTAACGTGAAGTTGTGCAGGAAACTTTCTTTTTAGGGAAATAATTAGAGAGTGATTCCTTGGGGACTATTAAAGTTTCGTATTTCTCCATAAGATTAACATGGGAAACAAACATTGTTATGAAACTCCACCTTTTGTCAGAAATTAAAAGTGAGAAGAACATATAATTGTAAACAGTCTATAAGCAGTATAACAGCAGTATGTTTTATCTATGCTATAAGTTTGCTAATTTAACAGTTTGCTACAAACATTTACTGACTTGGTTGAAATGAAATATTTACTATTTGAATTTGGGTTGGCTTAAATATTACAATGTAAAATACCCCCGCCGCAGCAAACCTGCAGACTAAGCGAATTTCAACTTGTCTGATTACATATTTACTCAAATATTTCCATAAATAAGACATATTTATTCCCAATGTAAATAACATTAGATTTAACGAGTGTTTAGGTTTGCTGCTACAGGGAAGGTAAACAGTGTTTTTTGACCAAACGTCAATAGTATAGGATGAAATAAATAAATTTCCCAAATTTGTATAACATATATCCATAAACAAGTAAACTACAACAGTTTTCATTTTCTCCATTTTTAAGAATAGCATGGAAATTTTAAATTTGCATTTTTTTGAATTTTCTCCGTAACCATTAGGCATACACCGATGCTTCAATATACTAAATTATTTATTTTTTTAAGCTCTACATAATGGTTGGGAAAGAAATTCCAAAATTTTACGTTTTTAGGGCCAAAAATGGGAAAACCCCATTTTTACCCCACAAAACCCCCCATAAACCCGTTTTCCCATGGTCCGATCATGCTGGTTTGCGAACTCGTTCGAATAAATGTGGGTTTACACGTTTCTACCAAATTTCATCAAAATCGGATGATTTTTGTTCGAGTTATCGTGCTAACGGACACATATATATAAATATATATATATGAATTTGAACGGATGGTGTTTTTGGTCTCTGGGGACCTCAAAATGAAAAAGTAAATCGGTCTCGGATCCAGGTCTTACCATGAGACCTACGGTAATAGCTTATTCCCTATATGGGAAATTTGCTAAAAGCGAGAGAGCCTGAATAATTTGATATAATAAAAAGAAAACTGAATTAACACTGTGCTGCATTTCTTAGTAATCCTTGAAAGAACCGATTTGCAAACTATGGAAACATAGGAAAGTCATAGAACACCACCAAGAAGAAGAAATATAAATAATGTTTTTTTAGAATGTATAATCCTTATTATGGTCAACCTAATGCGGCTATGAGTAAGGCTGTTTGTAGAAAACACTAAAAAACAAGATCAGCTTTTGAAAATGATAAGATATTTTCAAGAAATGTTGATTATATCGATCTGTTATGTGTTATGTACATCTTGAGTATTTCCATATCTTTAAGTCGACTCTTTTAAAATCATCAGAAATTGTGACTGTTATTCGTTTTAAAATAACGCCTGTAATACTTAGCAATTGCTCGAATTCAAGCAACAGGTACACTAGTTCTGTTTTAAATTCAACAAGAACTTTTATAACACAGGCACATTTTATAATGTTTAATCAATTTTTTAAAATTAAAATTCACTAAATAAATTGCAGTATTAATCAGTTCATGCATATGGATCAATACTAATAGTCAAAAGACCGATGCCCTTACTCAATCAATCCTTTGTGATGATAATTTACTAATAAAAAATACAATAATGATAATGTTTCAATTATTGTACATTTAAAAAATGAATGTATTTCTTGGCTGCTTAAATCAATAGTTTTTGGTCATCTAATATATACACGTTGAGCCTCATGAGTGGTATTTTGTTTTAGACATAACAGTTTAAGAGCCCAAAAATTGGCACAAGTTGTATACCTTAGGTACTGGATTTACTCTTGGTAATAGCATTTAGACTTCCCATCTATATGGACCGGCTGTAGCCCATTTTTTATTAAAAATGAATGTAGTTGTGTGAGCCAGTCACAGAATGTCTAAAATTCAATTTTATAACTTATTTTTTGTTGCTGACCAGGTTGATGGGTCATAACAGTTGCTATAACTCATCATAAGTCATTACCTATGTTTGACTTGGTTAAAAAGATTGTGTATTCGGTAGAATTTAGTAATTTAGATCAGCGCTCTCTGTAGGTGGCTCACATCAACTACGACGATTTTGATAAAAAAAGCTGGCTACAAATTTAACATGGAGATGGAATGTCTAGTCAAAGGTAATAGTCAGCTTATGCCCCAATAACTTTCTAATAGGTTTCCTTTAAACAAATTTTCAACGTTTTTAAGTTTTTTTTGGCACACTTGGCATTTTGGGATTGACTACTCAATTACTTTATAATATGATTTTCAATAGTATACAGGTTGTGTCACTGGCTCTTAAACTATTAGCAAAACTAAATTTGCAATTTATCTTAAGATGTTTAGTTTCCCATTTCACGGATTGTATTTACTGTATTTATTGTGATATGATACTCATTGTGAATCCTGACCTAGAATTAATATGTTTTGGTGTAGTTTATTGTGTATATATTTGACCATTGTTCAATGTTAAGTGATCATTATTTCTTCTGTTGAATCGTGTGTATAGTAATAAAATTATTTTGAAAAATTAACAAGACATTATTATACTGACCCTCTCTATAGATGAACCTCTCTATAGATTGATTTTACAGAGTCCAAAAGTCTGGTCCAAATATCATCAGAGACGATGTGCTCTCGAGTTTTAAAACGACCACCTCTCTTCCCTACTCAGCGCATAGGGAAGTGAATAATCTTACTCTTGATGGCCCATACATTAGCAGGCGATATATAGAGGCAGGTGATAAAAGGGGATGTAGGAAAATTTTTTTATGAAACCAAAAACCTCTTATCTTATCTAACAGGGGCAGGCCTAGACTATGAAGCACTTCATCCTTTGCGCACCCCAGACAATTGTTTTCTTGATGACCTTACAAGTTCAGGTGTTTAGCTTCCCAATTAGTTCCTCCTTGGGAAGATATCTTCCTCTAGCCACATTACCAAGAGTTATCATTCTAGCATCAGAGAGCTCATCACAATCAAAGAGCAGGTGATCGGCTGTCTCCTCTGACCTATCACAGTGCCTACAGATCGGTACACCATCAAATAAGCCCATCTGTTGTAAATGTTTCCTGAATCGCCCGTGACCAGCCTCAGTTCTACAATTAATTTGATTCTTCGCCAGTCTATTCTCAAGAGGTCAGAGGCAACCTTTTTAGAAGGCCTTAACAGAGTAAGATTGCTGACCCTAAGAACGAAAGTATCAACCCAGCGTTTGCGATGCTCTTCTTTGGCCCATGACGCAATCGAAGATACGCTAATTCGTGAAATGCCACAGAAGGGCTGAGGTTTCCAAAAACCTTCCAAAGTTTTATCGTAAGCTCATTGGATTTAAAATGTAACTAATAGATAAATATGTTGCTACGTGATATTTGTTAACTAGGTGGTTATTCACGATAAATATGTCAGAATAGTGTTTATGTAGGAGGATGTGTGTAGAAGTGTAGTAAAGTTTTTGTCCGCATCACTCAAAAATTATGATGTAATTGTCTAGCTAGTTGAGTAACCAGAGTTCTCGCCTTCAAATCTGGTTTGTTCGCAAGGCATATCATTACCAGACCTAGATGCCATTTGTCATTAGGCCTATTTAATGACGATACACAACAAAAAGGATTGATAAGAAGTCCAGGGTTTGGTCCGTTCTTGTACAAAAACCATTATGAAATGCCAATGCCTAGAGAAATTTAAAAGAAAAACCCACTGATCTGAATAAATAGAGTTATATCGAAATACTGGACTCCTTATTTGCATAGGACCCAGCTGCTAGTACTAATTGAAAACCGATTGTCTACAATAAGTTGATTGATTTTGGCCAGCTAGGTGTTTAATTGAAGAAATGAAATGGACAAAAAGCGATGAACAGTCCATAGGCTGTGGGGTAGAGTCTCAAAATACAGTAAGCATATATTTTGTTCATCTGATTAATTACAATTCATTAAGAACTGTAATTTTTGCACCTACAGAGAAAACTGTGGTGTTAATGAAAAATAATTAAAGCTGTAGCTAGTTTAAGAATAAATACCCCGCCGCAGCAAACCTGCAGACTAAGTGAATTTCGAATTGCCTGATTTGATTTTCACTTAAATACATTTAAATAACATAAGGTTGATTGAGTACCTTGGTTTGCTGCTAAAGGGAGGGTAAAAGATCGTGTTTTTTTAGTAAAATGTAATAGCTTAGGATAAAATAAATAAATTTGCCAAGTTTGATCAAAATATATCCATAAGAGAGCAAACTACAACAGTAGTTGGAAATTTTAAGTGTACAATATTTTTGAATAATATCAGTAACCAATAATTGTACAAAAACATTTCAATATACTTGAACTATTTTTTTAAGCTCTACAAAAGGGTTTGGTAAGATATTGGGAAATGACATGTGTCAAAAATGGGGAAAACCAATTTTACCCCATAAAAACCCCATTAAAGCCCTTTCCCATGGTCCGATCGTGCTGCGTGCTGGTTCACGAACTGATTCAAGTTTATACCACCATACACCTTTAAGCCAAATTTCATCTAGATTGGAAAAAAATTACTCAAGTTATTCACGTTCACGCGATACATGTTTGTACATGTATGTTTTTATTATACATATATACAAATTTGAACGTTTGCCTACAGTGTTTTTGGCCTATAGGGACATCAAAATGAAAAATTAAATCGGTCTGGGCCTAGGTCTTACCGTGCCACCTACGTTAATAGCTATAGGGTGATTTTTTTATTGGTGCGGTTTTTAAAACTAAATAAAAAAATAAAAAACAACTTGCATTGACATAAAAATGCATTTATTTGAACTACAGTGTCATGACATTAACGTTTAAAAATGATTTCTGGCATATGGGCTCCATTCCGTTTGGACTTCTAGATATTGGACTTCTCGATTGGGCTTTCTACGCGAACGGAATGGAGCCCATATGCCAGAAATAATTTTTAAACGTTAATGTCATGACACTGTAGTTCAAATAAATGCATTATTATGTCAATGCAGGTTGTTTTTCATTTTTTATTTAGTTTTAAAACCCGCACCAATAAAAAAATCACCCTTTACTTCCCTATAGGGAAATTCGCTAAAATTTAATTAGTAGTAAAGCCACCTGCAAAGTATGTTGATGTGAAAAATAGCAGATTTCTTTATACAATATTTTTTTATCCAAATTAAAAAGAGTCACTTTTTATCAACTATATAACTTTCATATCGTGCTCACCCGTCCAAGTATGACAAATTAAGGTACAAAATGCAATTTTTGTCAGTAGGTCACTCTATGATTGGTAAATTCAACTATAATCAAATTTTAACAAAAATGTTTCAGCAACACGTCCATTCAGATAGAAGGGATGTCTACGTTAGTATCCAATAGCCAATGTCACTACTATACATAGCCTCAGGAGACATACACTATCATGTATAAGTAAGTATAACAATTAATACAATAAAAAAAAAAACTAAATGCAGTAATCACCAACATTGTTTCAGCGCCTGCAATACATTGGTTCGCTTTTTCAGTCCACAGCAGTAAGAGTATTTGCTTATTCGTTGATTGCAGGCGTTGACTTTATGGTTAGTAGAGAAAGAGAAGTAGAATCTTTGAATGATAATGCAAAATGTAATGATGTCCTTGTCTTATTGAGAGACCAATCATATATCTCCTTGTAAAGAGGCCACATCAATCAGGACCCTATTTGGCAATGGCAACGACAAGCAAGGTACAAAAATAATTTAGTAATGTATTCTATAACGTTTTACAGCAATTTTACATACTTCATGACTGATTTTCAGTTTTGCCCTTATACCAGACGTAACAATTGAAATTTCTCTGTCAAAAATATCAAAGAAAATATGTTACAATAGCGGAAATGAATTTATGTTTGGAGTAAGGTAATATTTTACTGAGTTTATTACTTCTCATTGTTCTGATTTGAACTGCAATGCAACATTGTCCTTGATTTACTAAAAAGGTAGGTTGCAAGCCTTTTACGCATTCGTAAGTAAATGTTCAGCACCAATGTCACAGATATACATTCTCATGAATATATAATCAACGCCAATGTAGGTAAATAATTGACGTATGTCCTATATATACGTTCTTTCTTTACTTTCGTATTCTGTTTAAAATTTCAATTCAACCATCTAATTTGCTCTACGGTTTTGAACCTTGAAGTTGTTGCTCATAAGAACATTTTCCAGCACTTCACTATTGGTTGCTTTTATGATATAGTAATACGATAAATATTAAATACCGTAGAACAAAGACATAATCTTTTTAGGTTAGCGGTTAGGTCTTTGTGGTCAGACGCATGATAATGGTGTGTCTAATATTGCTATTATCAACCGGAAATGTGCAATATCAGCTTCCTCTTCCTCTCTCTGATTCATCTTTCTAGCTTTTGAATGACTGTTGAATAATTTTCAATTGTTCTGGTGATTAATGTTTTTCAGCTAAGTTACATATATTATCCATATATTGGTTGTTTTTAGTTTTATCCTAGACACAGTCTATCCAGAAATTCTGTTCAACTACGCAGCAGGTATTAAGGGGTGGTTAAGGTATTTGGGATTGTTATGAATTGTCTTCTTTTAAGTAAATATTCAATTGATGGAGAGCCCATTTGAGGCTGCTCTGGGAAATTTGCTCCAAAGTTCTGGATTTCATCAGCAGCTTTGTTCAATTGTTCAAGCTGCATTAATCTCAGAGATTTAATCTTGTCACAGTCATTGATAATTTTTTGAGTCGGAGAAAGACCTACTGGCGGAAACCAAAATTCCAATACAGCGTTTTTTAGACAGTATGACACGATATAGTGGGATTTCAGGGATACAGAAAATGTATCTGACAAGCTTATCCAAAACTTTAAAAAAACCGTGCACGTGGAACTGTTAATGTGTTGAACTTAGTTTTCATGTTTTTAGAAAGTGTTTTAGCTGCAGAGACGAGGCAAGCTGTCGGCTGCTAGATTGATTGTCAGGTGTACCAACTACCAACAGTACCAACACACCACACACCTCGCCAATACCAACCACCAACATATCGGAGAAGCCATTGACCTTGGCCCGCTTGCAAAGGTGAACTGCATCTCAAACAGCTGTTCTGATTTCTCTTTGATGTTGTTGATTTTACCATCCCTTCACCATGATCCCATCACACAACAGTCATATGTAAACATTGCATAGGAAAACGATTTTTCATCACTCCTTAACGAAAGTAACTATTTTCGATAACATCTGACATCAATGAAAGTAGTCGTTTCCCAAGCTCTAATTTAGGGCGAGGGAAAATCGATCAGCTGATTTTCCCTCGCTCTAAATTTACTTTCCCTCGCTCTCAATTAGTTATCCATTTACTCACTACGTGCGCTAGTGTTTTGTTACGGTTTAATTTGATGATTTGAATCAGCTGTGTGTATTGTTCAAAGTTGTTTTCCTATTTTATTTTCATGTTTAAACAAAATTTATTGAGAAATATACGTAGGTTTCCTTTTAGAATATTTTATTTTATTTTGATGTTCAATCAAATTAATTGAGAAATAAAATA